CCCAGGCTCTCCTTTGCCCACGACTCCAACACCAAACTACTACCCATCCTCAATGCCCTACTTGTGCATTACCCACCCAAGCCGAGAATCAATCTCCAGAAGACATCCTACCTCCCAACTTCCTCAAATTCATTAACTCTACTCCTACAACCTTCATCAAACACCCTCTTAAAAGTATTCCATGGTGGAATTCTGATTGCACCAAAGCGCTTCGCTTAAAACGAGCAGCCTGCAACGGCTATCGCTACAAACGAGGCACCCCTCACCAGCTATCAGCCCTTATTTTTCTTTAAAAGGGCATCTGCCCATCTTCGCCATACAATTAGAAATAGCAAAACAAATAGCTGGCAAAATTATGTTTCCTCAATTACGTCTTCTACATCTATTTCAGCTGTTTGGCGACGGATCCATATTTTATCAGGCAAACATCCCCCCCATCCTGCACCCGTCCTCTATATTCGAGATATTCCCATATCTGAACCTTTCGAAGTAGCTAATGAACTGGGCAACTATTTCAGCCAGGTCAGTAGTGGCTCTCACCTTTCTCCACACCTTTCTTCCATTAAAACCATCAAAGAACGCATCCCTATTACCCTCACCCTATCTGATGAGTCCTATAATGCTCCTTTTTCTTCTGAACTCAACGCTGCATTACAGTCGTGCCGCAACACTCATGTAGGCCCTGATGGTATTCACTATCTTATGCTCCGACACCTCCCATCTTCCTCTCTATCCTTCCTTTTAACTATTTTCAACCACATATGGATGTCAGGAAATTTTCCTTCTCATTGGCGAGATGCTCTCATCCTACCTTTCTTAAAACCCAATAAATCAGGTACCCCACCCCAAGATTACCGCCCCATACCTCTAACTAGCTGCTTGTGCAAACTACTAGAACGAATGGTTAACTTCCGCTTAATGTGGTATCTTGAATCTCATAATCTCCTTTTTCCTTCCCAGTTTGGTTTTCGACGTGCCCGAAGTACAGCAGACCCACTTGCCCATTTCGAGACGTATAGTACATCGGCATTTGCACGCCATGAATCCGTATTAGCCACATTCTTTGATCTAGAAAAAGCACATGATACCACATGGCGATACCATATCCTCCAACAATAGTCCTCCCTAGGTTTATGTGGAAACATGGGCGTTTTCATTAAATCTTTCCTTTCTAAACGTACTTCCCAGGTCAAAATTGCCTCTTCCACGTCATCATTCTTTCCTCAATTCGAAGGCGTCCAACAAGGAAGTGTACTTAGTACCACTTTCTTCCTTCTTGCTGTAAATGACATAGTCATAGTCCTACCACCAGGAGTCCGGGCTATCACTATATGTTGATGACTTAACCATCTAAGCATCTGGCACATCCATACCAGATCTCTGTCAATTCCTTCCGTTTGCAATATCAGTAACTTCTTGGGCCACTAACCATGGCTTTCGCTTCTCTACATCCAAATCTTTCCCCATACTTTTCTCTCGCTCACGTACGGTCCCCAAACCCCCACTCTTCTTATATAACGCTCCTCTCCAATACCGTTCTTCTGGCAAATTCCTAGGCGTTATATTTGATTCCAAATTGTCCTGGCGAGACCATATCTTGTACATCAAAGAAAAAGCTCAACGCCGCCTCCGAATTTTACGAACTCTTTCCCTCATCTCCTGGGGCTCAGATCGCAAAACTCTCCTCCATCTTCATGTTACCTTCCCCCCCCCAATCCCTTGCCCGTTGTTGTCGTGGGGGGGCTTAGGAGACGAAGACTGAGACCCAATACAGGGATATCCCCTGCCTAGGGCCTCAGCCCTCGACTCAACTAATTTTGCATGGTCTTTTTCCTCTCCAGCTTTTGTTTCCGTCTCTTCTCCATCCCCTTCTGCTATCTACTTCCTAAGGTGTGAGAGCCGTGCTGAGAGGATGAAAGGCTGACCTAGTGCCAGTCCTGAACGGCCTGCGGGAACTATGGGCACGGTACTCCCGACTAATCTAGCCCTTACCTTCAGTAGCGAAAGGAGGTGGACCGATTAGGCCTATTTACATAATCCAGGTTCCCCATGACCAGTAATGAAAATGTAATACCTTTATTAGAGGCTATGAGGCTAGCCCCTTTATCAAATAGCCCCAACCCAGGCTCTCCTTTGACCACGGCTCCGAACACTGAAACTACTACCCACTCCTCAATGCCTACTAGTGTATACCCACCCAAACAGAGAATCAATCTCCAGAAGACATTCCTACCCACCCAACTTCCTCAAATTCAACTCCACCCCTGCAAACTTCATCAAACAACCAATCCTCCCTTATTACTACCTTGCAGCCTTATTCTCCATCATTCCGTAATACTCCCTCTTCCACACGTCCCCGACCATCCACCACCACAAACCCTACAGATATCTTAAATACTCTGTTTAGCCCAGCTAAATGGGACCGATTTTTCGTGATCCCTGCTACAGCTCCTTACTCAGGCAACACTCTTCTCTTTCAACAATGCCTCCAAAAACAAGTAGGCAGAGTCCCTTTTTATACCAGACGCGATCGCTCCCGTCTGGTAACAGTCAGATCAGAAACTGAATCTATAGCACTGTCAAATTTAACTGATCATTCTGGCAACCCCATTCCTGCAGAACCTCATCCAACCCTTAATACCTGTACCGGAACTGTCTCTCTCTCCCCAGCAAACTGCCCAGTCGATACCAAAGATTGGTCAGACTGTGGAGAAGACTTATTAGGATGCCTCAAAGACCAAGATGTGAAATCAGTACATTGCTACACCATTCCTCCTAAAGGTCAACGAAAGAATCCGACCAATATTGCCAAACTTACCTTCCGTACACATGACCTTCCCTTACGTATCTACATTGGTGGACAATCCCTCCCTGTTCGACCATACGAACCCCCTCCCCGTCAATGTCAAAACTGTTGGCGCTTTGGACATCCTGCCAAACATTGCCGTTTCCACAGACCGATGCCCCATATTGTGCCCAACCTGGTCATAATCGATCAAACTGCTCAGCACAAACACGAACATGTGCTAACTGCGGCGGCCCCCATAATGTAATTTATATAGGCTGTCCCACTTACAAATTTGAATCTGAGGTAGCAACTCTCAGATACAAAAATGGTCTCACTTTACGTGAAGCCAGACAGGAAGCACGTCGACAAGGTTTCTCTCATACTCCATATTCTAGCAACATCGTTCGCTCAGCCCTTCCCCCTCCACCCAAAAATGTCCCCATTTCCACTTCTACATTCTACATCCCTCAGACCAATTCCTTTGCCACTCTAAACCCAGACACCCCAATCTCAACCACAGCTCCTATCTCAACTACAGCCCCAACACCAACCCCTCTCCCTCCCCGCACTACCCGCAGTAGACAGACTAAACGTTCTAACCCTTCTTCCCCTACAGCACAATCACCTCCACCTACCTATACCTTTGTTCCTGAGACACCAGTCTCCTCTTCCCCCCCTCATAAGAAAACCTTTATTCCACAAAACTCTCCAACCAATTCCATTGCAGAAACAATTACCTTCTCACAAAACTCTCCAACAAACTCCACTGCAGAAACAATGGATGACATTCAAAGCTATATGCTCAAGACACAAAATCCCATAACTCATGCTCCTTCCACACTTGAAGTGGTTTCCTACTAATATTCCCCCTACACCCCTTCCTCCTACTCCCTCTCAACACAACCTAACCCCCTCAATCCCAACTCCACTGATATCCATCCTCCCAATACCCATCCTCCTGATATGCATCCCCCTCTTACTCACAGCACCCCTACACCCTTTCCTCCTAATCCCTCCAAGACAACACATCCCCTTCAACTCCACTATCCCAGCCTTCTGATATTCATCCTCCTAACACTAATACTCCCCACACATCTACTCCCTCCCAACACAACCCACCCCCTTCAACCCCAACTATAAGCACATTCTCCCTCCCTCCATCCCCTCTATCCTTTGCACTCCCTCCAGGATACACACGAGAATCACTCATGGCACAAAAATGCCCTTCCCCAGACTCCCTACCTCCTAATATCCCTCCTTTACACCCCCTAGCTCCTTCCCCTTCAAATTCCCCAACACGTAAATGTGTTATCATTCATAAATCAACTAGGATATAGCTCTCCTACATTGGAATATTCGCAGTTTCCGCTCTCATAGATCAGACCTACGTCATATCCTTGCTTCTTATAATCCATCTATTATCTGCCTCCAAGAGACTTTCCTCACACACCCTCCTATTCCAATTCCTAATTACCATTGTATCTCTTCCCCACACTCCCTCTATGTCTCGTCTATACTTATCCATCATAAAACACCTTATGTCATACCTCCCATACAAACTTCTGTCCCGTGCACAGCTATTCGCATCTTTCTTCGCCGCTGGATCACAGTGATTTCAGTCTACTTCTCCCCATCCCATCCCATTGACTTTACTGCCTTTGAGACTCTAATTTCCCAACTCCAACCACCTTTCCTCATAGTTGGTGATTTCAACTGCCGCCACACTCTGTGGGGTGACTCTACCACCAACTCCCGAGGCCGATCTCTAGAACGCTTCCTCTTCACAAATAACCTAATTATTCTTAATTCAGATCGCCCCACACACTTTGACATGCGCACACAATCCTTTTCATGCCTTGACCTCTCTCTATGCTCTCCTACTTTACATCTAGATTTCCATTGGTCAGTTCTAGACCACTTCCCCTATAGTGACCACTTCCCAGTACTCCTTTCTCCTACTTCATATGTACCA